TCACTGGCTGCCGAATGAGAGAGGGGAAAGAAAGACAGAGAGAAATAAGAAAGAGAATGAGACAGTAAGAAGGAGATACTTGACAGTGTTGCTGGTAGGTGTGGGTTTTATAGGAGTAGAAAGAGGTGGAGAGATAGCAGAAGATGGGAAACATACCTGGTGGGGTGGGTGTTGGTTGTTTGCAAGTTGAGGGCAGATGAGGAAGGAGGGCTAAGGCGATGGTTGGTAGAAGGGTGGTACTCTAGTGAATGGCTGGTGGAGTTACTGGTGATCGCTGAGTGTCGACAACTGGGATTATCTCTGGGATAATAAAGATGATGAGAGAAGCGTGAGAGAGAGAGAGAGAGAGAGAGACGTATATGAGATAGTAGTATAGAGTCTTACGATGAGAGACTTCTTTATGGGCAGGAAAAGAAATTCAGGACTAACTGTAGACCATTATATTAAAATTTTTGAAATAATCTGAACCGTCTTTTATGTTGGGATTACGTTGTCCGTTGTCCGTATTTATGTTTTGTCTTAAAACGATCTGAACCTCTTTTTGTATCTGGATTCAAACTTAGCTTTACTTTATTATATAGATATAGTAACATTAAAAATAAAAAGTAATATTCAAATTAAAAAAAAATTATCATTTAAACACAAAAAATAATATCATTTAAATTAAAAAAAATAGTAACATTCAATATTGATATTTAAAAAAAATAACAATAGTAACACATTCAACAAAAATCTATATCTATATCTATACTATTTACTTCTAAAAGGCTACTAAGCCAAAAAACTTTTAATTACCATATTTGTCCTCTAACATTTCTTAAATGTCTAAATTATCATTCACATGAATAAATGTATAGCACTAATTTGTCCATTGTAGTGCTCATTTATTTCTTTCAAAGGTGTGGTGACTCTCCGTCTCTCCCCACATTTTCTCACCAACTTCCAATAAATTTTTAGAATAATGAATTACCATTGTGAGAATTTAATTTAATTGCTACTCCTCTTGAGTTAATGAGAAAGAAAGAGTTAAGTATTAAAGACTTCAAAGAATCATTTTTCCTTTCACTCAATACACCCTTTACTTTGCCACTTCCAACCGGTTGGATTTAGATTTTGGTGGCTCTTCTATTTCCCATTTTTCATTTCTCATTCAATACCAATAAATGTTTTAAAACTTGTACTATTTGGTAGTCCTTCGCTCTTCCACGTAGCTTATTATTCATTCTAATGAAAGTGCATGCTATGAGATAGTATTTCCACTTCCAGACTAGCACATAAAAATTGATGCCTGCTACACAACACGGGAATACAAAACAAGCATTATTTCAAGCCCAAATAGATAGAATAAGAGGAAAATATCAACAACCCTTGCCTCGCAGTATTCAACTGTGCGACATAGATGAAATGACAATAATTGAGATTATGGAACGGACAAAATGACAACGTGTAATTTATCAATTTAATTTCTTCATTCTACATACTAAGAGTTTGCATTATGTTGGATGAGTTCCTTGTATCATTTTTCTGTAGCTTTGGTGGTGTAATGCTTGTGAAAAAGCTTGTGGGGATCATTTTGTTTAAAGCTCTACCTTGTTTAACATATGTTTTTGCTCGCATGATAACTTGAAAATGAAATTTGAAAGTAAAATACAAAAAAAAAAAAAAAAAAAACCATAACATTGGTGTTTAGACAAACACATCACTGTTGAGGCTACTCTAGAGTTCATATGTTATTGTTGAGGCCACTCTAGAGTTCATAGTTATATAACTGAGAAATTAGAAGGAGTTGTGCATATACAAAATTTGTAGCAAAAGAAATCCAAATTCAAAGCCACGAAGACGATTCTCGTTAAAAAAAAGCAATTAAAAAGCACGTATATGGTTTGCATCCATCTTCTAAATGTGGCCGATGGGAGACAATGTTGGTAAATAATTTCCATAGATTCGTAGAAGTAACAAACTATTCTAAATGTGCTTAGATATAAAAAGAGTTACAATTGCTTCTCTATTTAGAAGTGTAAGAGGATAAATGTGGTAGCTAGGATTCCCATTATCCGAATATATTTATTTATACTTATGAAAGTGTGTATGATTCTCTTCCTTGTAAAATAACAAGAGGAAGAACAATCTTCTAGAAGAGTTGGCCAGGTAAGTGTAGAGTGAGTTTTCTTGTTTGTTTAGGGAAAGCGTTTAGAAAATGTGTAAAAATATTCTGTTAAACAAAAGAAACAATTAAAGTATTTAATGTAGTGGAGGTTTGCCTGATTTTTAAGTATTATCATGCATGATTATGTCGTAAATTATGTTAGAATAATTATTTCTATCAATGGTCTACGTGCAATGCACGTGGACATTAACTAGTAATAAAAAGTACAACAAAAATAATAATATGCTTAACAAAAACAGTAACATGTTCAAAAAAAAAATAACAATATGAAATATTAAACAAAATTAAAAATAAAAATAGTAGCATTCAATCCAATAACTAAATAAATAAGCTTCCAATTCTTCAACATTCAAAAAAATAACACTGAAAAAGTAATAACATATTTAATAAAAAATAGTAATATGGTCAACAAAAAACATAATAACATGAAACATTGAAAAAATTTGGGGATTATTTATCAAAAAATTAAAAATAAAATTGGGAATCAAACTAATAACACATTGGGCAAATTTTTCAACCTTTTTTTTCTACAAACCAACAACATAGAAGTTTATCATGACCAAAATACAGTAGAAGATATGATAGTTGTTAATGATGTTCCAAACCCTACTGATTTTGCTGCTATGGAGGAAGAAATGATATTTAAGGAGAAAAATTTATTATGTTAGAGTGATGATATTCTTCTAACGAGAGAGATAAAGGGAGAATAAAAATTTTCTCTGTTCATTTTAATTTAAAATTATAAAATTTAAAAATAAAAAAATTAAATTACTATTCAAAATATAAATTAAATGTTGCACGATCTATACTCAAAATTTAATATTGTCATACAACAAAAAAATTTGCCAAAAAAGGCCGTGAAAATTTGATTTTGAGCTACATTGCTACCTTTTCATATAACTGAGGGTAGGTTGCCCTCCTCTCGAGCTTAAGGTTTTTTTATCTTCTAATTGTATATAGCACTTTCCTACGTAATGAAATCTTTTGTCAGTTATTCTAAAAAATATAACTGAGGGTACAACGAAATAAATTTATAATTTTAGAGTATAAATTAAAATTTTAAGAATCTTTTAACATGAAAAAGTGTCGTTTACCCATAGTAGGGACAACAATTTCAAACAAGAATCGTGTTTAATACATACGATTTTAAGTTGTACTTGTTTAACTTCTTAAGGGAAAAAAACATATTCATGAAACATACTTTCCAAACTGTTAATGATTTTTAAAAATACGACCTAGCTGGTTTTGAAAAATAAACTTGTATCACTTTAATCTCTAAAGTTTTTAATTTACATTTAACTACTTTAAACGACATTTCATCTATTTTGCTTGTTTCTTTGTTCTATCATTAGAGAGACTCCAACTTTTTTTTGCAATCTATGCGATTCATCTTGTAAGCCAGAGTCGTATATTTATTAATTTATAAATTTGTTATTATTTTAATATAGTATTTTTTTGGAGGAAAGGCACCAAAAAATACCCAATATACCTTTAATATTTTGTTGATACTTTTCTTAACCATTTGGTAAAGATAAGAAGTGAGAAACTTGGAAGAAGAATCAAATAGAATATACAACTTAATTGGAATAGTGATTCTCCATTAAATTGCATCAAATGTGCCAAATTTTAAATTCTAATTAACATCCTCCTTGGGTTTTAAATGTAGTTTGTTATACAAAACAACAAAATATAGTGGTAATGTAAAGTCAAGGGTATTGATCGATTTGTGGCATATTGGTTTCACTCATTTTAGGTTCAAAATAAGTATTAATCAATTAAAACATGACTTATTTGATTAATCGTATCAAATAATTTGGAAGGAACCTAACATGTTTCTTAATCATGTTGGTTACTATTCGACACATTATTCGTGAATTAAAAATACGTGAGTTGAACCCCAAATTTATACACTTTTTTACTGGCTAGTTCGAACATTTCATCTGACCGATCTGTATTGAATGTACTCAACGGTTCCGAAATGAGACCTCTCTTTTAACCAAACTCACCATCTACATCCTCACAAACTAAAATCCACTTGATACAGGTGTTAGAATGTTCAATTATAAAGCAACCGAAACTCAATAATTTTGTGTTGGGTTCGTCCCAAATATCGTCACCCGGTTTTCATTATGCAATTTGCTCACAACTATGTGGCAATATGGCATTTAGAATCGATTCGTTGCCAACATGACATGACCATGTACTAATGTCCCCTCCACTTGAATGGAATATACAACAATGGGAAAAACATACCACAAAACCAAAAAAGTGTCCATCCACCTTCCCTATACTCTTCAGTTTTGCCACCCAAAATAGGTCTTTGAAAGAAGAAAAGATGGCTTACAACAAAGGAGTTCATAGCATAAAGAAACGGAATCTAATTATGGCACCAAAAAAAAACTTTTTAATACCATATCTCCACTTTTTTGTCCAATAAAAACGTGACGTGTAAATTTTTTTTTTTTTAATTACTTCATCGTTTTTCAATCAATGGTAACAAATTATCAAAATCAAAGGCTTGTATCATTTCCAGTATGATAGCCACAACGGTATAGTAGCCTTATCCTAAAGACAAACTCAGACAGGAGGTAAACAACTTGAAAATGCTGGAGAGATAGGGATAGAAGAGGAAATGCTTTGCTTCCAAAATAGCACTTCCATGAAAACAAGCCAGTCAAGGCATATTACACCTTGCTTGCCCCATTCCACTGTTCATGAGCTAAAGTCAATACAAGCCCTGCAAGAGACTTCTCTTCTAGGCTTCTTATGCACACAAGCAGCCTATGCTATTGATGTTCTTTGCAATTGAACATTTTCTCTTGAAAAACATCAGAAGAGTTTGGACAACATTGACAGCAGTTCAATCGAAGAATGGAGAGTTTGATCAAACAAACAAGGTAACCTACAACCTCCAAATGAAATAAAGTTAGTCTTGTGACACCACTAAAGAACTCTTTTGCTTCAAAAAGTTGAAAAAAAATATTTATTCCTATTCTTAGATACCATATTCCCAATGAATTATTATACGAACCATGAAATAGGAAAAATAAAGCAAAAAATTCAGAACAGATAGTATAGTGTTAATTCGGCTTAATGTTCTTCATTGAGATATTTCACAACAAACCTTATGATAAAAAGAAATGTTTGTCATCTCCGTTCATTGTTACCCTTGCTAAAATGTACTAACTGATTGCCAGGGTGAGATTTTCGGGGGCAGGACGAGATAGCAAGGAAGAGAGCAACAGAACCAAAGAATCCTTTGAAGGAGGTACTCCCACATTCTGAACAGTTCTTTTGCAGCTTTTATAGTTTCTTCTCATTCCTTAGAACAATTGTTTGCTTATTTGTAGATAAAAAGTCACATAAGTGGTTCCAGAGGCAGTTATCTAGGCGAATGAGTCACGATTATGACTCTGGTGATAGTGAAATTGCAACTGCAATTGGAGCAGCTGCTTTTGCCATACATGCACTGGAAGAAGCCAGGTTACAGCATCAGAGAAATGTGAGAGAGGGCTTTGACACCTCCATGAGCAGGGCGAAGACAAGAAAAGAAGAGCAGTCTAGGCCACCAGATGCTGGGAGAGTATCCAGGCGATTGTCTGGCAAAGAAACTAGAGAACCAGGTAATTATCAACTACACATGTAAGGTTCTTATAGCACATCTGTAAAGCCGTAAAATGGGCAGTAATATGGTGGTATTATTAGTCGAAACCTCCACAAGAAAGCTGCCTGCACCTCTTCTGAGAGGTCCAACAAGGTCCAAAAGCATAGAAACCAAAGCAGATGCTTGGAAGGAAGCTAAGATGGCAAAGATTCAAACAAGGTACCCATTTTTCTTTGAGCATTTTAGTTTGTTGATCACATATTTATAATGATATAAGGTGGATGTATGCTTTTCCATTTTAACAAAACATTCACAAATTTCAGATACGAGAAAATGAATTCAGGAATGCGTGCGTGGGAAAATGAGAAAAAAAAGATAGCACAATATGAAATGGAAAGGAAAAAGGTTTTGCTTCTTTATTCTTAGTCCTCTATGTGGATGCCACGGCTGAGAACTGATCACAAAGTTGTTGATGCTGCAGAGTGAACTGGAGCAGAGAGGGGCTAAGAACTCGAAACATTACCAAAATAAGCTAGCAAGGATTGTTCGTATTGCTGAAGAAGCAAGAGCACAAGTTGAAGAGAGAAGAAAGCAGGAAGAATCTGAGGTGAAAGAGCGAGCAAAAAGCATTCGATCAACTGGAAAGTTTCCCCATAGTTGTTTCTGCTGCTGAATCTCACAAAAAACTACAAAACTCTTTGAAAGCCAAATAACACCTGAAGTTGTCAAACCTTCCCTACAAGAACCTAAATAATTGGGGAAAGAAAATTGTATCATGTGTCAAAGTAGTGTATATATTTCAAATGGGAATTGAATAGTAGAAATGTAAGTATCAACATGGATAAGTACAACCTAACAAACTAATGGTTGTTGCTATGTTTAACTGCCCACATCCTATTTGCACTAGATAGTCTAGATTACAGGCTTACATACTGGTAAACAACCCCCCCCCCCCCCAAAAAAAAAAAAAAATTCATTCTTGTCTCTTCTGGAAATTGAAAACCCGCAACTTGAAGCATGAACTAGTGGTAATGGCAGGGTAGCCAAATATAAGAGGCCCAGAGTTACAATCCTTTTTGGTTATCCCTTTAGTGCACATGGGAGAAATTGCTACAAATCTGTGAGACCATGATGGTAATCTAACACATTGGGCAGACACAGAAGAAATAGAACAGGTATCTGCAACTGCCAAGAGGTTGTTTTCCCTTCAGTTGGAATAGCAAGTTGCAAACAATCAGTCAAATTTATCCCTAAATCCTCAAAAGAAAAAAATATAGGCTACGAGCTCCAGTCAACGACCTTTTAGCAGATATGATCAATTTCACAGTTCCGTTGTGTATGAGATTTTTGCCTACATGAAAGTGCCAAGTTGTCACCAAAATACTCTCACTAATCATAGTCTTCCCTATCAAACAACAATGCCACCATGCACTATCTACATCTTAGAGAGTATCACCATCACCATTATTCTAACAATGAAATCCACCAATTCTACAAAACTTCTCATATTAATTTCATATGAGATTTTTTAATGGATAATGCGAAGTTCAACTTTGTCCCTTTAATAGAATACATATCCAAATAAGATGTGATCCACTAAATGTCTCCAATAAACGTCAACTATCGCAATTTCTAATCCGTTAAACAAAGAACTAATAACACCTAAACATCTGCTTTGCTTCAGGCCTGCAGGGCTCCTAATAACAACTAAACCGAAGTTTCCTTTAATTCTAAACCATAGGTGCACGCAATCAAATGACAATTAGAAGTTAGAGTTGTCATTACTATGTCTTTCTGTAAGTGACTATCAAGTATCAAAAATTGTCCATACAAACCGATAGAGTCATCTTATGATTCATTTACAGATACATTTCTCATGGCCTCAACTTGAGACCCTTTTTTTCACAGTTATAAAAAACTGCATATCTGTTAACCCTGTATTAGCTGCTTGAGTTTGTCCTATTGATCTTGTGTCAATACGAACTTTTACACATTACTAATATTTTTAAAAGGGTGTTTTAGTATCAAACCAAATAAATTATATGCAAATTGTAAACTTCGTTGAGAAAAACAAGGGAAAGAAATCCACTTCAGCCATCAACAGTTAGGTGCCCACCTGACCTGGCACCATGAGATCAGATCTAAGCACCTGCTGTTGGAAGGTCTGCTCTAAGGAGTGTTTCAGAATTGAGATCGAACAAATAAGAGCCCAGCTGCAACATAATGTTTCTACTGGCCCCAATTGTCTGCATAACTACCCGGGTTGATGGTATTAGCAGAGGGACATAAGACATGATCAAGAGTTTAAATCATTTCATATAGGAAACAACTTCACAGTCTCTCCGAATCATCGTTTTCATGATGGGATGTAATGTAAGCTAGTTGCTGTCCAGTCTCATGAAATCCAAGGCAGCATTGTTAAATGAGGAGGGCCTCTTGTTTCTAGCCAAGCAGGCCTATGAGGCTGTGACTTATCAAAATTAGGCTGTGACATATCAAAAATTTCAGCCATTAATCTTGAGGTGCCCACTTTGACTTGGCACCATGAGACCATATCTAAGCACCAACCCGACCGAACTAAATTATGTTAGCTGTTCAAAGATCTCATCTCAAGAGTATGTCAGAATCAAGATGGAACAATGTGACCCCAGTGGCGACAGAATGTTTTTAACTGCCCCATTTGTCTGCAGTACTCTCTGGATAGAAGGTATGATCAGAGATACTTAGGCATACTCAAGACTTTGAATCATTTTCATATAGGAACAACTTCACAGTCTCTCCAAATCATTGTTTTCAAGATGGGGTGTAAACTAGTTGCTGTCCAGCCTGATGAAAAACGACACAACACAACATGATTGATTGAGGAGGGCCCTCCTCTTGTTTCTAGCCAAGCAGGCCTTTAAACCCGTAACTATAGAATTGTAGCAGCCATTCAGCAGTTCCATTTCCATATGCATATGGCGACCCTGTTTTGTATGTAATGGAAAGCGAAAATTGAATTGGATGGTTCAGTCATATCCTCAACAGATATCTGCGGTGCCAGGGATGCTGCTTGGTTGCAAGAAACTTATTTGAGAAACCAACTTCTATAGTGAAGACCTCAATCTTGAAAATCAGCTTGAAAGAGTTTATTATATTTTACCTGTGTGGGATTATAATATTCCATCGTACTCCTACAGTTTAAATGAATCCATGGACAAGGCTCATCACTGCTTCATACATTCACTGGAAATGTTAAATCCATACACTTGTCCCTTATGATTTTTATTGTAACAACACAATCTTAGAATGTTGTGGCCATTGATTAATAATTTTCTCCTCCAACTGATCTACAAAATGTTGCCAACTCAAGCTTGTTCATTGTCATATCTGAAAATTTGTTGTTGAGCCTAGAAAATAAGTGCACCACCAACAACTTTGTCGCATACCCAACACACATATGGCTAAGGCGGAGTCTGAGGGGCAACTAATAAACAAACTTACTCATACTGTAGAGAGGCTGATTGCTAAGACTTAAATCAACGACGTATTGCTAGAGCAGATGAGTAAGGGCATCAAACGTGTCGTGTTTGTAGGACTCGCCTGTTATTTGTGTAGTGTAATTGTTATTCGTGTTCGTGTCAAGACTCACGAAAAAAAATTTATATAGTGTGTTGTGAGCATTAAATGTTAGTTTAAACTATTTATTATGCATACTTAATAATCGTGTCAATTTTATAATCATTTGAGTTCGTGTTTAGTTCATATCAACGAGTCAAAGTTGACATCTTTATGTGTGAGAGACTCGCACCATGTGTGTTTATTGGGTTTGTACAAAATATTTCTTGAAAATTAGGTTTATTCTATGCTGAGCAAACATAAAAATTGGATAGTCATTATTTTTGTAGTCATCATATATTCACATGTCAAGCTAAGTAAAAAATGACAAATAATTTTCATCTGTTTGCTTGTAAGGATTCAAATGCCTTGTTTTATAACTTATTTGGATTAGAAATAATGAACAAACACACAATACAAGAAACTAATAATAGATGATTCTTTCATTAATTCAATTGAAGTGACTTCAGTTAGAAAGACTGAATAAATAGTTTTGATTATAACAGTAACTACTTCCTAAAAATTATTCTAAAACTACAACTATAAATATCAAGATCGTGATTCTTGTAGGGAGTTTGAATATATCATTCACCTCCTCCATTATATGTTCTTTTATAGCCATTGTCTTCAACGATTCTGTTTTTATCAACTTCTTTTTTTAAATATAACTGTGGTTGATCATCTCCAGCACTTTCTTTTAAATTCTTTCACGTGACACTTTTTAAATGTCATGTGACGTCAAGTGTTCATAAACTGAATATTCCTGAAATATGATATTTTATTTTAAACAGAAAGATAATTTTTTTAGGGTACATATAACTCACACCTCACATTTTAAAAATAACACCGACCTCCCTTGACATTTATAATTTATAACAGTCACATCCTCTCGAAGTAATAGACAATTTTTCAAAAATGATATCATCAATAATAATTTTTAAAATGCCAAAAATACCCTCTAAAATGAAGTTTAAAAATTTAAATATATGTTTTTCTTACACTAGAAATTTATCCCTCATTTATTTCAACACTTAAATTTTAATTTCCTCATTGTACTTATACCTACTTATCCAAAAAGTTTATACTCGTAATTCAAACTCATCAATTCTTATAATAATTATTATTTAAAAAATAATTAAATTACTCGATATAATAGATTTGTATTAACTAAACTTTCCTTAACACATATTAAAATCAAATATAATCTACTATTTCCAAATTGACACCACTAATTAAGCAATTAATTATCTAATTTTTTTTCAATTAAGATACCATCATCTAAGATAATTTTGTTTCTTAATTAAGACACCATGAATTCAGCCAATCATCTAGCACCATCACCCACCCACCATGGGCTTCCAGACCCGCTACGATCCACCAACGTCCTCAACTACCGCCTTTTAGAGAGAGAGAAAAAAAAATATGAAGACTGTGAAGGAAATCACCGCCTCCACCATCTGAAAGCCACCACCTCCACCATCAGTTCCACCATCCAAAACCCATCAGCTCTACCACACAAAACCCATCATTAACACCACAACCTCCATCATCCAAATTCACCACCAACACCACAACCTCTATCATCCCTGAGCTTTATCTCTAACCCTAATGTAATACCTGAGGTAAAAAAAAATGAAATAACAATAATAATAATAATATAAAGAATAAGTTGAATTCGAGAAGTTTTATACTTTTGCTTGGCTTGAGGTCTATCCTTATGGGCTTATGGATATGATTTAGAAATCAGTGGAGATAATTTATTTTTTTTTTGGTGTAGGGAAAAATGTTTGATAATTATAGAGATCTATTAGGATTATTATACATATGGTTTTAATAGGGTAATATTGTTAGATAGGTCAAACCCTACGTGTATATATATAATATATTTAAGTTTGTAGGGTTTTTTATTGGTTAGAAGGCTTGTGGAGGGGTTGTCCAGTGAACAAAGAAGAGGAAGGAATAAAGAAGAACAAAAGAGACAAAAAAAAAAAAGAGAAAGATTGAACTCATTGAAGGTATGAATTCATTAATTATTTGGTAGATTTTTGTAATTTATTCAATTACATGGTATTAGAGTTATCATAAATGTAATAATGAATACTTATATGTATATATATGTTCATGGTGAAGAATATTAATGAATATATAAATGTTTTTTATTGTAAATTGTTAATTTAAGTTTTTTTTAAGACCTAGTAGAGATTTATTGTTTTTGAAGCTGTTAAAGAATTTATTTAATGTCTTAAAAAAGCAAAAAGAAAATAAAGGGGAAAAAGGAAGAAAAGTCTGCAACTTTGGTGGGTGAAAAAGATAGATTTTAGAAATTACGAAAAACTCTCTTTTAGTTTCAAAGAGTTTTATTTTGATCCTTATATTCTTTTAAACTTAATTTTAACCACTATTTTACATGGTAAGTCAGAAGAATAGAATTTTTATAAATTTATGGCAGCCCAAAAAACAGAAAATTCGTTTTCAAATAAATTACACTTTGGCCCCAAAAGTATCAAAATTATGATTTGATCTCAAAATTTTAGAAATTTTTTCTAAACAGCCAAGAATATTTTTATATCCTATTATCTCATATTAACAAGGATATTTATATGTAAATGATATATTAAATATATATCAATGGGTAGGAAGTATGTAAAATAAATATAGAATCGTGGAATGACGAAGTTAGGAATAAGAATTAATCGTTATATGTTATTTTAGATTAGGTGGTGATTGCATAAAAGTTGAGAAAGAGGATTTTGAATTAGATTTTGAGAATTAAGGTGAGTAGTTTATTACTCTTTTTGGGAGGATTTTTTATATTAAATGTGTGGGTGCGTGTGTGTGTGAATTTTTCATATATATGATATGTGTTGATATTTGGGGTTGCAAATAATTGTTTTGAAATTGTGAACTGTTTTACATGTGAATTTTAAAAAAACTTGTGGGATGATTTTATATCATTGTTTTGGCAATGAAAATGAAGTTTTATGTGCGTTGGAACTAGAATTATAGTTTTGATGTGCGTGAAAATCATGTTTATGAGACGGAGATTGAGTTGCCAGATCTAAGTGGTAACAATATTGTATACCAGTGTAGTCGGTATATGGATGTGTACATAGAGGTTAGTCATCAGGCTAGTGATGACAAAAGACGGGACCAATTATCAGGTTAGTGATAGCAAACATGATTTGACAAATGTATTTGAGACTGAATGTGAGTGTGAGTGTTTTGAGTTTTAAATATCTTTTCATTTATAAAATTATTTATGAAAATGAGTGGGTGTTTTGAGTTATAAATGTATTTTCATTTATAAAGTTATTTATGATCAAGAAATCATTTTGTTTATATGATTATGTAGGAGGGATTGTGGTACAATTTGTTGTACTTATGTATGTATCAAAATTTATTTTTTTGTATAAACTGTGAGATTTATTTTTACACCTCATTAGAGGTGGTTGTTAATCACGGGTCTTTGTGCTCATCCAAATATTTAACATTTTTTAGGAGAGGATCAGGGTGAGGAATAAGTCTGCAGATATACAAGGGATTAGAAGACTTATAAATTTCTTTTATTGTAGGTTTTCAGAAATAAATATCTTTTATACTTTTGAGGCAAATGTTTAATTGATTTGGGAACAATATTGCTTATGATTAGAGTAGTGAACCTTACGATTTAATTATTGTTTTACAAGGATTTAGTAATGATGTTGATGATGTTTAGTTTATTCCTCTGATATTCATTAGGTTAGTAGAATAAATTACATTATTATTTGTCTTCTGCTATATTTTTGCATTTATTATGCACAAAGTTGGTTGGTTAAGGCTTTGGTGGCCAGTTCGCCGCCCATTCTATGTGATTCGGGGTGGGGGTGTGATACCTAATCTTCTTCGTCATCTCTACCCCTACCACCCATTGTTTCACCACCAAATTTGAACCACAAAAAATTAACCACCAAATCAATTCAAGGTTGGCGTGGCGACTCACCCATTCATGTGGGTTTTACAGATCTAGAGAGAGGGGTAATAGAGTTTTTAGATCTGAGGTTTATTGCGGGGTGGGGGTGGGGGCCTAAGATAGAGGGAGAGAAGGGGTTGTGAGTGGTGAGTTTGGAATGGTGGTGGTGGTGGCAGCTGTGTTGGGAGGGCTGAGTGCGGTGACGTGTTGCAGGTATGGGGTAGGGACCTTGGGGGATCTGTGAGAGAGAGAGAGAGAGAGAGAGAGAGAGAGAGAGAGAGGAGGAGGAGGAGGAGGAGGAGGAGGAGGAGTTGCAATTTTCAAAGAACGAGAGAGACTGAGAGGATCGGAGTGATGGTAGTTTTCGGGTGAATTAAGGTATGAGTGAGATGTGAGGGGAGAGAGGTATTTTTTTTTGACTCATTAATTTTTTTTTTTTTTTGTAATATATATTTTTTATTATATATTTATTTTATCACTTCTTCTAACGCCGATCATCTATTGGCGCCGATAAGGTGTCGTCGTGTCATTTTAGAAATGTCAAGGAATTTTTATGTTATTTAGTCAAATGTTAGAGAGCACGAGTATAATTTACCCTTTTTTTTTAAAAGGGCTTTTGATGACAGATCACATAACTTTATAACAATGATGACACCAAAATTTTCAGCACATTATTTTCACAATTTTCATAAAATGCAAAATCCAAAATGACAACGTGTCCCATCGTTTTATAAATTAAAATATAATGTAAACAAATTTCCAAATGAAAAATATTATAAAAAAATGAAAATGATTTGTGATAGTAAGTGGTGTCCACAGAGGACCATTCACAGCTCAACTGGAGGCCTCTACGCTGCGGCCCGCAATGGGTTCCTAGTAGTTCAGTTCAATCAGACCCGTAAGCGAAGAAGCTGGCAATAAATAAATTTAGCGTATGATGTATTGGGTTCGAGTTGTCTAATGTGTTATTTATTAAATTGTAAAACGAGAGGGTTTACTTATTGTGCGGGCTTGATCCTGCACGATATATAAAATATTGGGAACAGATCTCTCCCCTGGTGAACTTTGGGTGAGCCGGTTGAGTGGCCAAACACACTGCTCGAACAGCCTACAAGGAACGGTGGCAACCTCGAACGGCAAAGGAAGATCCTGGGAAAGGAAGAACGATCCTGTACGTGCGAAAGGTATTTCCTGGAACAAAGGAGAACGAGTTAGAAGGGCGCCGGAGTGTTTTCCGGCGTATCCCCTCCGACGGTCTAGTCAGTCTTTGAATGAGAGAGAGGAAGGAGAAAACACTGATGAGGATATTTTGTAGTAGTGAGTTCGTGATTTCATACCCGCTTTGCCTTTTGGGAGGAGTATTTATACCTCAGAAGCTCATGATTGCTGTCAGTGTGGTCAGTAGGTGATCATCAGGCACTGGTAGCGTGTGTATTGATTTGACGAGGAATGTCTTCTCTAATTGACTGCTCGGGGTCCCGAGCAATCAATGTTGAGTCGTCGGGACGCCGACGGTACAATATGCTCCTTTCGGGAAGGATGTAATAAATGCTCCGTAATAGGAGCATTTATTGCCTTTCATATCCGAACCTTACCGCATTGAATGCGGTCTCGTCAACAGAAGGGTGCAATTAATTGTTTGCTTCCCAAAGCGCATGTCAGCAATAGCATGCGGTTTGCCTGTTTTTGATGTGATATCGTATGCCACGCGTCCGTCACGTATTGGCTATGACTTCTGTATTCCAGCATGTTCTGACATTACTTGTGTAAGACGAGGTCATGATGAATAGTCTAGACTGGCATAGGCTGATGTCCCGTACGTCAGTAACTTTATCCGTGAGTAGAGGAAGCGTCCAGGATGGAGTGACCCTCGGCGCCGAGGAAAGGCTCACCTCGGGGGACCAAGGGGTGGTGTGTTTCCGAGGTACATGGTGACCGAGGACACGTGTCTTTGTATAATGCACCGAATATGTGATCCTATATGAGAGGTACCTCGGGGGAGAGGACGCTTTTGCCGATGGTGCTTGAACCCGAGCAACATTGTTCTAGAAACCCCCGAGGACACGTGTCTTCATCATAGGCTTTTCAGAAGAGTCCCATCAACTGCCCCCCAGCCTTCGATCTTCTGACGCCGAGGACACGCGTTGTCAGGAGACGAAGGGTTTTCCAACTGCCATCCGTCCTTCATTATGGCCTCGAGCAGCTTTCCCCGTCTTGGGATGTCGTGCGCATTAAATGCGCCGTTTTGGTTCTCCCGCCCAATGATGACAGTTTCCCCCCTATATAAAGGGGGTTCTTCTCCGGTTTCCATTGTTTTGCCATTCCGATCTCTGACCCAGAATACGCCTTTTCTGATCTGCTCGCCGGAGTTTTTGTTTCCTCAGCCATCATCGACAGCATCTTCTCTTAAAATCACAGTCAGTAAACCCATTGTTGACTCCTGGTCCTTCCGGTGCGAGTCATTTTCAAAGTTTTTCCTGAAAAACTCCGTTTCCGACGTCTTCTGGTGAGTTTCACAACCTTCTTCTTTATCGTCCTCCTGGCCTTCTTGTTTTCCGATTTGAACGGTGGTGTCATCCGGTCGGTACGTCTTGATTTAAACCCTCGGGGAACTTCCTCAGGTTTTCAAGAGAGAACATCTTTTCCTTCCCTTTCTTTTAGAGATGCCTCGTCGTCGCCCTGTTCCCGAGAATCCATCGGCTGGTCCCTCGGGGTCAGGGAAATACAAGGTGACAGGCGAGGCGCAGATCGATAGGTTCAGGGCGAAGTATGGCATCCCCCCGAGCGTGGACGTAGTGGGCTTTAACCCTTTGTTGAACTCTCCTACCTTCGGGGCCGCGGATGCCATGCCTTTCTATACCAAGGCCATCATAGAGGGTGGCATTAGGTTTCCTTTACCCCCCCTGCTTCTTCAGTTCCTGTCTCGCTTCCGTCTCTTCCCCGGGCAATGCTGCCTCAACGTCTTTCGGATAATTATGGGGGTCCTAGAGCTCAATAGGCGCCTCGGGGTGAATATTGGGCTCAACGATCTCCTTTTCTGTTACTCCCTCCTAAGAGTCATGCCCCACCAACATTTCTACCTCAAAGCCAGGGACCCCTCTATGTACCTTGTAACCCATCTTCCTGACTCGGACAAGGGGTACAAGGACGACATCTTGATCTTCAAGGGATGTTGGGAGAGGGGTGTTGGTCCCGAGTACAATGACTTATTTTGCCCTCGGGAATGGAGAACGACAAGTACGTCGGTTCCTTTGGGTCTTTTTATTTGTTTCTTGGGACTTCTCATGTTTATGACAATCTTTTTTGTTGTGCAGATATTCCTTCTCGGGAAACAGCTCCACCCCCTCGGTCGCTGGTCAATTTTGCCGACTTAATAACGGTTTGGAGTTTCACGGGCGCCGACGGATTTGGCCGAGCTGCCCATAATCTGCTGCACTATACCCCCGGGTATAAGAAGTTCTCACAGCTCCCTCAACCTTTCGAGCCTTCGCAGTGGTCAGAGCTCTTTGATCAGGCGGCGAGGTTAGAGGTCGAGCAGAACTTGGAGGAAGACCCGGATCGGGCTTCAGAGGGAGAGGTAGAAGGAGTTGCTGAGGTCGGGGTCAGAGAGGACGTTGCTCCTTCGGACGCCGAGGTGGGGACTTCGGGAGGCGACCTGTGGCCGGATTTTCAAATTCTCCAATCTTTGGACGCCGAAGACGCTCTCGAGGAAGCGATGTCCAACGCCCCTCGCATCAATTTGGGGTTTCTTAGGCAGAGGCAATCCCTCGCAGCCGGGAGAGGCCGAGGGACGACCGGCGGTACTCCGGCAGGAACCAGTTCCGCCAATTCTTCGAGGGCTCCCGGTCAGGGTCAGGTGCGAGACCGGGATCCTCAGGTGGAAGAAGAGAGGAGGGTAAAGCATCGGCATGACGGCCTCAGCCGGGGACCCAGGGCATCTCCCGCTCAACCTCAAAGCGGGAGGGATCGTGGGTTACCGCCTGCTCCCCCACAACAGCAACAACAACAGCAGCCCCGACAACAGCAACAGCAGCAGCAGCAGCAACAGCAACAGCAACAGCAGACCCCTCCTCCCGTTCCGCCTCGGGGGGAGGCCGCAGAGTGGAATCCTCGAGCCACTGATCACATGAACAGAGTGATCAGGGTCGATGATTCTATTCTGTCGGATCCTCATGTCGCTAATGCAGTGAGTGAGACACTGCATTTCGAGGCCGACATGGAGGCTCATAGGGGGCGATCAACCAACGTGTTGTTCCGCTCCATGATCCAGAATTCCCTGGTGGTGAGTTTATTCCTGTTTTGATCCCTTCACTCTCGTTTTCTATTTTTGTGTTTTTAACACTCTTTTCCTTCCTTTACAGGCTACCCAGCAGATTTCTATCATTGCTGGCCGGTACTACGCGTCCAGGATGGATCTTCAGAGGGCCAAGGATCAGAAGGCAGAAGCGGAAGCTGCCCTTGCTCGGGCAACGGAAGATGTTGCTGCCAGGGATTCCACCCTGGTGGGGCAGGCTGCCCAAATAGAGCAGCTCCTCAAGGACGCTGAATCGGCCAAGTCGGGCGCTGAGAAGCTAAGTGCCGCACTTGCCGATGCTGAGAGGAGGATTACTGAGCAAACGCAGCGGCTCTCTGCGGCGGAGGAGAGGGCAGTGGGCTCCGAGGAAAGCTGCCTGGCCCTTACCCAGGAGCTAGATAGGATCAGAGCCGAGGAGCTGAACCGGAAGTCGGAGCAACAACTTCTGGAGGAGTTTGCCGATGACGTGCTCCCCGCTCTTGAAGAAAATAGCAAAGAGTTCTTCAAGAAAGGGTGGGACGAGGCGCTCCAGGCTGCTGGAGTCCCGTCAGACTCCCCTCTCTTCCAAGTGCACAAGTATGTGCCCTCGGCAGAGATGGAGCAGGCAGAAGCACAGGTTGCTGCCGAGGATGAAGCCCCTACACCGATGCAAACCTCGGCTGATGCTCCCGAGACGGTGATAGTGGACTTGTCCGAGGACGCTCCGTCCGACCTTGCCCCTGAACCTCAAGCTGCTCAAACTGTTCCAGCTGTTCCTGCTGCCGAAGTTCTTCTCCTGCCCGCTCCAGAAGCTTCCCAACCTTTTATCGCTGATTCGCCCTCGGCCGAAGTTCTGGAGGTGCCTGGAGCCCGATGAAGCTGCTTTTCATTTCCCCTTTTTTGTACCCCTTTTGCTTTCCTTTTGTAGCTTTTGGGGACGCAAAGCCCCTATTTCTTTTGGAAATAAATAACTAGTCTTTTCATTTTTCTGTCTTCTTCTGTATACAGTAGTGTTTTGCTTTTCTTTACTTCTGTGTAGAATAAATCATAAGTGTCTTTGAACTGTCTTCGGGGCGTGCTGGCCCGTTCCGGAGGCGAGATCTTGTATCTACTCTGGGGATTTGGGTGCTTGTGTTTTGTCCTCAGGACCATTTCTTTATGAATGCTTGTTTCCAGTTTTTGCCTCGGGGACAGTAGTTTGCACTCTGTCCCCAGGGCCATTTTGCTCCTGTTGTACTTCGGGGACAGTAGTCCTTGCACTCTGTCCCCAGGGCCATACCCTTGTAGGAGGCTTGCTCCTGTATGTACTTCGGGGACGAGAGTCCTTGACCTCTGTCCCCAGGGCCATACCCTTGCAGGAGGCTTGCTCCTGTATGTACTTCGGGGACGAGAGTCCTTGAACTCTGTCCCCAGGGCCATACCCTTGCAGGAGGCTTGCTCCTGTATGTACTTCGGGGACGAGAGTCCTTGAACTATGTCCCCAGGGCCATACCCTTGCAGGAGGCTTGCTCCTGTATGTACTTCGGGGACGAGGGTCCTTGAACTCTGTCCCCAGGGCCATACCCTTGCAGGAGGCTTGCTCCTGTATGTACTTCGGGGACGAGAGTCCTTGAACTCTGTCCCCAGGGCCATACCCTTGCAGGAGGCTTGCTCCTGTATGTACTTCGGGGACGAGGGTCCTTGAACTCTGTCCCCAGGGCCATACCCTTTGTCTTTTGTTTGGCGAGTTCTTGAGAGAGAGTACTTTAAAAGTAATACTTCTTCAAATTCATAACATTCCATGGTCGTATTACAGGTCTTCCACTCATATCTTCTAGTCCATACGACCCGGCGCCCCCGATTGATGTTACTTTGTAAGGCCCTTCCCAGTTAGGTCCCATCTTTCCCTCTGTTGGATCCCGGGTATTGGCCGTCACCCTTCTGAGGACCAGGTCGCCTATCCGAAATTCTCGAGTCTTGACCCTCCTGTTGTATTGCTGGGAGATCTTCTCTTGATACTTGGTTATCCTCAAGGCGGTTTCCTCCCTTCTTTCTTCCAGTAGGTCCAGATCCAATCCCAGTTGATGATCATTTCCCCCTTCATCGAAAGCTTGGGTCCTTATGGTCGGAAGTCCCACTTCGAGGGGTATGATTGCCTCCATCCCGTATGCCAAGGAGTAGGGGGTTTCGCCTGTCGATGACCGAGGGGTTGTCCTGTACACCCATAAAATATTTAACAGCTCTGTCGCCCATCTTCCCTTGGCTTTCTCTAATCTCTTCTTGATCCCATTGATAATTGTCTTGTTGGTGGCCTCCGCCTGCCCATTGGCTTGAGGGTATGCAGGGGTGGAGTAGAAGTTACGGATCCCGAGATGCTCACAGAAAGACTTAAAGCGCCCGCCAGTGAACTGGGTCCCGTTATCTGATACCAGTGCGCGAGGAATCCCAAATCTGACGACTATGTTCTCCCAGACGAATTTTTTGGCGTCTATGTCTCGGATGTGACTCAACGGCTCCGCCTCCACCCACTTGGTGAAGTAATCTGTGGCTACGATGAGGAACTTTTTATTTCCCGGAGCTTTAGGCAGAGGTCCAACCAAATCAAGCCCCCATTGGGCGAATGGCCAAGTGCTGGTGAGGGGGTGTAAGTCCCCCGCAGGTTGCCTGATCGCAGGGGAGAACCTCTAGCACTGGTCGCATTTTTGGACATATGCCCTCGCGTCCTTTTGCATCCGCGGCCACCAATATCCTTGAGACATAATGCGGTGTGCCATTGATCGTCCCCCAGAGTGCCCCCCACATATTCCTTCATGCACTTCGTACAGGAGGTCTTGTACTTGATCTTCTCGGACGCATAGCAAGTAAGGTCTTGAGAAAGACCTTCGGTAAAGCTTCTGATCCGAAGAGACCCAAAATCTTGGAGCTTTTATCCTTATCTTTCTAGCTTCCCTTGGACACTCCGGGAGATCTCCCGTCGTTAGGAATTTGACAAAGGGATCAATCCAACTGAGTTGCTGGGGCGCGTCCTGGATGACCATCGCCTCAAGAGTGTGATCAATGCAGGATGTGGGAAGATACTCAATGGTGATTCTGCGCGACTGGGAGGAATCCACTGCCGAGGCTAGACAAGCCAGGGCGTCAGCATGTGTGTTCTTGTCGCGGGACACCTGCTTAATTTCAAATTGGTCGAACCTTTGGATAACGGTCGTTGCTTGGTGATGGTACGCCTTCATCCTAGGATCCCTCGTTTCGAATTCCCCAATGACTTGATTGACCACCAGCATGGAATCGCAATGCACGATCAAATTGGTAACTCCAGTCGCCTCAGCTAACCGAAGTCCTGAGATGAGTGCCTCATATTCTGCTTCA